AATTAGTGTGGCTGTAGACCTAAAATGGTGTAGTGTTATCAAAATTCACAAGCTACTATACATATATATAGTATAGTAGAAACCCGTATACAAAAATTAATTCACTTCGTGCCATCCACATCTATGAGTATTCAGTATTTACGATCATCGAAGCTCACAACTTCTCCTTGTGTGTATACGTCTTCTAGCAACGGATAAAGATAGTCCTTCTCAGCTAACAATATAGGACTTTATACACACCTAATAATCCAATTCATACCTGATATTTAATTTGCATCAAACAAATAGGAAACTTCGTTTATTATGGATGAATATGTCATGATAATAATATAGAATTTGTTAGTATTAGGCTAATTGGATTGCTTAATTATAAAAGGCTCTAACTAATTTTTTGAGTGTGACACAAATTATTATTAATTAACTTCTTTAATTAGCTAGACTTCAAAAGAAAGAAACGTGAATTAGACTATCTAATTAAACTAAACTTTACTTTTGCAAAAGAAGTAATTAAGTTCAAAGTGTGAATTTAGAATAAATTAATTAGTAGCAATGTGATTAATTAATTAATTCAGTTTTTGGTGTTTGCATATGCAGAGACAACTTTGATAGCTTTTCTTTTTCACTTTATAGGAAAAAAAAATTCCCACTTTATAGATCGTATTAGTTTGTCTCCTTTTTTTCTAGCACATGCACTATTGGTTCGGTATGGTATGATATGGTACGGAATTTAAAATTTTAATTCGGTAATTTGGGTTTTTAAATTTTTTAGAAATATTATATCATTATCATACCAAATTAATACGGTATGGTTCTGTATTTTGTGATATGATAAAGTGGTATAGTTTGTTCAACTTCGATTTATATATACTTATATAATAGAGAATTGTGACTTCAAATTTTTAAAAACGTCTCAATGATATAATATTAACACCTTACACATATGTAGAAATATATATTTTAAAAAGTAAAAGTAACTCCCTTTGTTATTAAATTACACAAAAGACATTCAATAAGATAAAAGTAGTTAAAGTTCCAACATCTAAATATTTAATTTTGTATTAATATTAGATCGTATATTTGTTAGTTTTATCATATTATATATGAACTATTTATGTAATTATACACTTTGATACATATTCAATATTTTGATATTTTATTTATAAATGTCGAATATCGTATCAATTGATACCAATTTTTTTTTCCAGGATATATACTATATATCACTCAAATATCATAATCCAAAAATCATGATATCATTTTTTTAAAAAAATTCGATACGATAATTAGGTATCTACCGTACCCTGCACAACTATACTTGTTCATATATAGTTGAAATTTCAACCAAAAAATACTATTATCTATTCTTCCTTCCTTTTTTTTTTCTTCTGAGAAACGCAACGTTTTCAAATGAATATATAAAAAGTAAAAAAAAAAAGTTTTTTATATTTTGAAAGAAATAATCTATGAACATGATTGATGACCAATCAACAATTGAATAATAATAAAATTATTGTACTTTTTAATCAAGTAAATGAATCATTATAAATTTCATCATAATTAAATAGAGTTGAAGCCCCCACTTGTGGAATTCTCTCGATCAATCATTCATAACTAAATTATACCAACTTTTTTCCAATTATTGAATTATTAGTCTATATTTTTTATCACCATAATTAATTTTTAAAATCCAACTAAAATTGTAATCATATCGTAAAAATTTCTTTAATGACATATTTTTTTAATTTATCTTTTTTCTATTATGCACTTTTTCCTTGGCGTGGAGAGGGGAGGACCACATGACAAGGTGCAATATTATTAGTTATGAATTTAGTAATAATATATTGACTTCTTAAATATTTTAATTAATACAAAATAATTTTGTCTATAACAATCAAATACCATATAACTTATCCCAGCATAACTTGTTATTGTTTTCGAACCAAACAACCCCTAAGTATATAACAATCAACCACAATAGCAATTTAAAAAAAAAAAATGAATGATTGATACCGTTATAAAGATATGGTGAGATTTTTTACTAACAAACAACTTGTATGTTTCAACTTTCAAGTCCAACGAATCTTTAAGACTTAAAAAATCTGTCAAGTGCTCAAGATTTGAATTTTTTAAAAATCTTTTAGTTACAGAAATATTGTATTTTGTTTATATATATATATGCAAAAAAAGAGTTTATTTATCAAAAGATTAATTTATTTTCAAATATTTTCTTCTACATATAACTAAAAAATATTTATTAACTTTTAATTTATTTTTATGCAGAAATAAAAATAAAAGTTGTACGTCTAAAAATTGTTGAATTTTCTTGACATAAAAAAAAATCTTTTTATTTTTTTTTGTTTAAATAAAATGCATGGACACATGGTTATATGTTTTGAATCCCATAAGAAATTTTATTCAGTTTTAAATTAATTGGATAATTTTCTAGGTGAAAAAAATACTAATACTAATTAAGCTTACTTTAATGCATGTATGTCTACATATACAAATTAATAAGTATATATATAAATGTCGGATATTATATATATAATTTTGTATGTTCAAATAAAAATTTCTATTTTCGCTGCTGACAAACAAGTAAGGGATTGGATCGGAGCACTCTCATATAACAAGTGGAATTTGGGCCAATAACTGTGCTGCAGTGGTGAAGCTTCGGTGTTTAAACTCTTGACATGAAAAAAATCTTGTTGGAAAGTGACATATTCTAATAGTCTTGTAGTGCGTAATTTAAATTTAGTCCAATGCAAACATCAAACACCGAATGAATAATAAAATAAAATAAAATTTGGGCCACTACTAGTCCTTATCTTACTTTATTATCCACACACAAAAATCTTATCTTATTGTCAGCCAAAACACAAAAAGAGAAACAAGAAATCAGAATACCTAATCTAAGCTCAAAATTGAAACCAAAAAGCAAAAAGAAAAAAACAAACAAACAAGAATAATGGATGGGATTCAACAATTAGGACTTCCAATACTTGGAATTATAGCAGCAGCTGCTGTTACATTTTATGCAGTCAGCTTCTCAGAAATTAGAGAGGTATGCTACATTTATTCCAATTCTTCTTCCTTATTGAACTTTTATAATTAGTCGTGGCAGAGGCAGAATTTTTACCGAAACGTATTTTTATGTTATGTTGCTTATTTTTTTTAAAATGTCAATAAGTGAATGCCGAATCCTTCAAAATAGTTTTTCTTTTTTGGAGAATTCACTAATTTTTGGAGGAACTGACACAATGATAGAGCTAGCATTCTGATTACTAATTCGGCCGAACCCAATAACTTTGATACAAATATTGTTAAAAATATCAACTTAATATATATAATTTTTTATTTTTTTGGAGAATTCACTGATATTTGGAGGATATGACATAAGGGTAGAGCTAGCATTCTGATTACTAGTTAGGCTGGACCTAATCGCTTTTTTAAAAAAATCAACTTAATATGTATAAATAATTTATCAAGAGCTCAATAACTTTCTTTATTTAAAATTAGAATTGATAAACTCAAAATTCTAGTTGTGCCTCTGATCCGATATGAGTGTGGAAACAATTTTGAAGAATCCAGACAATATATCTAGTATATACAATGTGATTTTCCAGCGAAAAAAATTCAGATGAACCCTTTTTTGCCCCCTACTTAATTATAACTTGGTGAATATTTATTAATTGGTATCATTTTCTTTTTTTGGAAATTGTAGAAATCATTAAGAGATTATGAGGATGGAGAAGAATTTGGAAGTGGTGGTTTCAAGTATGTTAGCTCTAGAGAAAGGAGAGCTAGAAAAAAAGCTGATAAACAAAAACCAAAATCTTGATTCTTTGTACTCATATTTTCATATATCATAATTTTTATTGCATTTGTTGTCGTTGGAATCAAGGATGAATTCATAATTTAATTTTTATGAATATTCGAGATACCACTAAATCTCTACTAACCATTTGAGTTATTGAGTTCAAAGTTTAATATTTATAGATATTTATTATTTTAATTACCTTGCTTATTTTTTTTGGTAAGAGGTAGAATAGGAGCGAATTGGATCAAATTTGACTTACACAAATGGGTCAAAATTTTAAAAAGGTTATGATTCAATACACTTGAAACTTGGTTGGATCAAAATAAAACTAGTCTAACAATAACTTTCTTAGCCAACAACTCATAACCCTAGTTAACAATATACAAAACACTTTGACTTGTATTTTTTTTACTCTTTTTTTCCCCATGAGCTATTTTACTTCTTTTGAAACTTGAGTTCTTCCACTCTATTTTCAGTATCCTTCAATGCTTTCCCATATTTCATTATCAACTGCAAAAAAAAAAACGGTTTTAATCGTTTTTCAGCTTTCGTGGAGCAACAACAACAACATTCCCAATGTGTTCTCACAAGTGGGGTCTGGGGAGGATAGTGTGTACGCAGACTTATCTTACCTTATGAACATAGAGAGGTTGTTTCTGATAGACTATTTCAACTTTCATGGAACGTTTAATGTTCATAGTTGTTACAAACATGACGTTGTTGTGTTTATGTCATGTGACATAAACACAACAAACCGAGTTCTAAGGTTATTGAGCAAGAAACCGAGGGAACTAGCATTGAAATTACCTCATCAATTTCTTCCAGACTAAGAATGTAGGGAGGAGACATCATTATGTTATCACCAGCAACGCGTACCAACACTCCATGCTTCTCACACTGTGCTCCAAAATATGCACCGATGCCTATGGAAAGAACGAAGGATATGTCAAAATGAGATTAGAGTTATAACTTCATCTCGAATAAGATGAAAGAACGAAAACATACCCCATTCAGGAGGGAAAGGATCATTAGGAGATTTGTTATCTGTAAACTCTGTACCATGTAGCAAACCAGTTCCCCTTATCTGGAAAAAAAAGATCGAAATGTGAGCTAATAAAATGAACGTTAGGAAGTTAAGACGTTTGAGCTGATTCTATCGCGATGATTACTGTACCTCCCCGATTATGGGACTATCAGAAAACACTTTCAGACCTTCTTGGAACTTTGGTGATATTCTGTTTACTTGCTCAACAATATTTCTTTCCCTGTAACGAATTCGAGTCTTTTCAGTGCTTAAAGCAATAGTAAGTACAACACCCCTAGCTAGTTGTGAAACCACTATTTTCTATGTTGCTCGGACTCTAAAAGATGTTGTCATGCACTCGGATCAGACATTAACATGTCGATATTTTGATGAGTCCAAGCAACATAGCTATATTGACATATTTCTTTCAGTCCATATCTACAAAAGGTTGAAAATCATAAAAGAAAAGTCGCGTACTTGTAGATCTTCAGTGTTTCCAAGGCAACTGCACACGAGACAGGATGCCCCGAGTAAGTAAATCCATGGGAAAATGTACCTAGCGAGGAAAGAAAGCTACGAACAAACTTGAGAAACAGAGGATTTGATGTCCTATCGAATGGACAATGTACTCACCGAGCTTGTTGCTTTGAGAATATATGACATCGGAAACTTCAGGGCTTACAAGGACAGCCCCAATTGGCATATATCCGGAGGAAAGAGCCTGAAAGTGTAGTTAAGAGAGACGGATTCAGAATCCTGATACACGTTATAATATGCGTAGATTGGATAGAGTTATATGAATATCTCTACCTTTGCTACAGAGACAAGATCAGGTTTAATGTTGTACTTATCACATCCGAACATTGTCCCGAGCCTTCCAAATCCACATATAACCTCATCCGCGATGACAAGAATGTCGTACTTCTTTAGTACAGCTTGGACCTAAGAATGAGTAGGATGTAAAATTCATAGTAGTTATTCTTTCCTCATCTGAAAATTTTGAAAGTTCAACGAAAACTGACCTTTTCAAAATAGGTCGCGGGAGGAGGTATGACACCTCCTGCCCCCATGACTGGTTCCGCAATGAAAGCAGCTATCTAAGTGTCAACAAGTACATTAATCGGAACATCAGTTCATCGTCTATATATAATGCATATGAAACAGGAAAACATGATCAAAGTTGATAGAAGTTACTGTTTCAGGTCCCTCTTTGAGTATGAGATTTTCCAAATTATTCGCCAATCTTGTCGAGAACTCCTCTTCCGTCTCTCCTGACATACACATAACACACATTTTCGTAAAAAAGTTCATGTTCTGCACTCTGACTGATCTATATAAGATACGGATAAAATAACAAGTATGTAATAATAAAGACCTGGCTGATGAAAGCGCCAATAATGAGGACAGTCAGTGTGCAGAACAAACGGAGCTGGTAGATCGAATTGTTGATGCAAGGCAGGAAGGCTGCAACAGAAACTATTAACATAACAGATACTTCAAACGAATAATTGATTGCTCGGAAAGGATTAGTATGTTACCCAGAGAGACTGGCGGAAATGAGAGTTGATCCGTGGTATCTGTTTGAAGACGACAAGCATGAAGATTATGTTAGACAAACATAAAACAACACAACACATACAAAAGAAGCAGGGGAGTTGAGGAATAAGATTACGATTTTGTTCGAGCAATAAATTTCTTTTTCTCTGGCCTCCCGAGTGCATTGTTGTAATACCATACCAGTTTCACCTACATATCGAAACGCAAGGATCAATCGTTAGTTAATATCCTAAAAATCATTCCTCAAAGAGACATATCCTTGAGTCAACTAACCATAGCATTTACTCCCTTGCTTCGTCTCAATTTGTTTGTCTTACTCGTTCCCAAAAGAATATCTATCACTTTCCTTTTCTGACAACTCTTTAGTTCTAACTTTCCACGTGGTCACAAGATTAAAGGGCATTTTAGTACATTTTACATATCTTTAGTTTAAAACCACAGGATTCAAAAAATTTCTTTACTTTCTTAAACTCCGTGCCAAGTCAAAAACAGACAAAACAGATTGAAATGGAGGGAGTATTACTTAGCAGGCTAATTGTGTAACAACCTGTGTGTCATTGGCTTCTGATCCGCTGTTTGTGAAAAAAGCTTTCGCCATTTTATTTGCAGTAAACAGATCTAGGAGTTCCTTCGCGAGATCCTGTATGTTCGAAAATAGAATCAATATGATATCTAAGTAAAACTTAGCGAAATATGGACAGTGAGGAGATCTCTTTTATCTTTCGTGATGAGTTTTACGTACCAAAGAAGGTTTTGTGCTACGATTCCAAAATGAATGGTAAAAGGGCAACTCGTTGAGTTGTTTAGTTGCGGCTGCAACAAGACGAGGCTCACTTCCACCTACAATAATGTGTAACAAGACATCTATGTGTTAAATATTTGGAAGAAACAATGATATATGAAATGTAACGCAGACAAGGACTCTGAGTACCTAAAGATGTGCACCACAAACCAGCTAGAGCATCGAGGTACTTCTTCCCGTTAACGTCATAGACATAAGAACCCTATGGCAAATTGCATAAAATCTGTTATACACCGACTTCAGTAACTTCTCGAGTAGACAGACAGAGAAAGATACGAATCTAACTAACCTCGGATTTTTGTATGACTAAAGGTTCCAAATCAGTAGTATGCCATCCTGCAGTGAAGGGTGCCAACATATCATGCCCCTTATATCTGCAAATGTCAAGACATTTGATTACTCACAAATTCGTTAACTTGTTTGAGAGATGCTATATACATTTTAGACTGCACGCGTATTGTTGGTATATAATTGCAGCGTTCTTGGTAAAGGGTCAAAAACACACCTGAATGATTATCGAAACAAGCCTCGACTATCAACTGTTCCCTGTTCCTACCTGAACGATGGTGACATTTCAGGTAGGAAAAGGGAACAACTAATGTTGACGTAGGAAACTCGAAAAAACGTGATACTTCAGGTGTGTTTTTGATCATTAACTCATATCAATGTATAACGTTCACGATAAATGAAGATAGAGACTCGAGTAGTAAAGAAAGGAAAAAGAAATTCACCCTCTAACATCAGTTGCTGAAATGTCATTCTTCAAAGATGTCTCAGTGCTACTCCATCTGACCTGTATTTGATCACTAACGATTTGTTTCTGCAAATTGCTAACAGCAGAGATATGCTTTATGTGAGGACCAACCTGTAAAACTCGATAAATTAGGAACCATACATACCAAACAGATATATAGATTGATCAAGAACAATGATAAAGGCCCTAAAACTGTTCGTTTAACATACAAAACGGTAAACTACAGATGTTTTAAGCTTCTCAGGAGATCCATGACATATCGTTCTGTATATTAACGAAGATAATTTGATCTTCGTGTCTAAACAAACTGTAAAATGACCTGATTCACATAACCACATTGTCCAAAGAGGAACACATAACAATCGTCCGTCCATATCAAAAGCACAACAATTTTGGAAAGTCCGAGCTGTGTTGAATTTGAACTTTAGGCCTAGCGAGAGCTATATTGCTCGAACTCTTCAAAAATGTCACAGGATCGGTGTTGGATCATCCAAAAGTAGCACATTTTTATAGAATCCGACAAGGGTCCAACAACAATTTTGGAAAGTTCGAGCAACATAAAAAAAATGACTATCTACCTGGTACAATAATGACTATGCCTCAATCCCAACCAAGTTGGTAGGTCGCCTATATGAGTCATCAATCAATAGCAGAGCCAGAATTCTCACTAAGGGGGTTCGTTCAACATGTATACTATACATACATAAAAAAAAATTAACAATGTATAAACAATATATTTTTCCACCGAAGTAGGTTTAGATAAACCCCCTTGGCCCTACCTCGCTCCACCCTGGTCCTCAATGACCATATCGCTCCATTTAAACACGTCTCAATCCAAAATGACTACAAGTTATCCATTAAGCTTAAAGAATACTCAGAGGCAAGGGCGGACCTACAAGCTTATCTACGCGTTCAACAGAACCAAGTAGCTTTGACCCATAATCCAATAAACTCATAACCTCGAAATCCTAACTTTGCCTCCACTTGGGAGGATCATTTTAAAGTTTAAAAAAAACATAAAAAGGAGCAAACTTTACAATGAAACACATTCAAGAACCAAAAAAAAAATTCCCTTTATACAATTATACCAATATAGCATAATTCAACAAAGATTTTAATAAATAAATTAAAAAAATTCACATAACCAAAAAAAAAATAAAAAAAAATCCCAAGAAAAGCCATAATACAAACCTGATTGGTGGCTGCTACAATTCCATATCCAATTAAATTAGTAATCTTGGCCATTAATTTCCCTTCAAGAAAATTCTTGAAAAATTATAAAATAATTATAACACAAAAACCTCCCTCTTTCTATATGTTCCCTCTTCCTTAAAGTTTTAATAATTATAAGATTTTATATAAGTTGAAGAGAACAAAGAAAACAAAGAAATTAGAAAGAATAACAATTGACAAGTGATAACATATGACTCAACTTATCTTGTCTTGTCCTAAAAATTGTATAAAAATCAGTATTTATATATGGACAAAAAAATTGTAAATGTTATAAATCCTCATTCATCGGATATTCAAACAATTTTTTAATTTTTTTTTGAAGGTTTGTAATATTTTTAGGAGGGAGAAAAATCAGAGACTTAATATACATTGAATTTGGACACTTAGTCATACTTTTTAAAAAAAAAATTATGTGACACTATTTAAATTTGTAATGTACATTGAATTTGGACACTAGTCATACTATTTTCTCCGTCTCATAATATTTGATCACTTACTGAATCAGGATAGCATTAGTTAATTTTTTCTCATTTTACCCTACAATTAACGTGGCTTTTGAAAATCAAAGAACTTTTTTTAAGAGGCTAATTAATATGAACAAAGGGACAAATAGTAAAGTTGATCAATCTATTAATAATTTCTTAATCACTGTGTAAAATAGAAAGTGTTCATCTAATATAGGAGAAAGGGCGTACTTTTTGTGTATCAATTTATGCGGCAATGTTTGAATTTTGAGAGTCAAATAAGTTTTGTTTTGATGGTAGTTTTTTTCCCCATATGTTTTAGATATTTTGAGTTGTTAATTATTGTAACTTATAGTAAATTTTTTTACGTACTTTAGTATTTCTTTTTAATTTTATAATACATTTTAACTTTTGAAATTAAAATGGTGTCACGTAAATTGAAACGGATGAATAGTAAAGTTAGATGAATCTTCCTCAAAATCTTAATATAGAGATATTTCTGGTACATTGTATCTGGTCATTAATCATGGGTATTTTTCTTTGCACTTATAGAAAAGCATAAGGTACAATTCAAATTTATTTAATTTGCATGGATCAAATTCTTTTAACAAAAACTAGCCTACATTTTCGCTTTATGGTAAGAGTTCGATTCTCCTCCATATTTAAAAAAAAAAAAAAGTGTAAATAAATATTTACATAGTCTAGTCACTTATAATTACATATGTATATCATTAATTAGTGATTAGATAAAAATGGTAACTAATATACTATTACCGATTAAAATTGTATTAAAAGTAAAGTAAGAATCTTTACACTAAAATCAATTATCATTAATTAGTGATCAGATAAGAATGGTAACTAAGTATATGCTATTACATATTAAAATTGCATTAAAGTAAAAATCTTTACACTAATATTAATGTATATATTTTATATGTACAAAAGTAAATATAAAATCACGCATCATATTTAGCATAACTTGTTGTATAGACACTAAAAATTTGTGGGAATATGTAAGACATGTTCAATTCTAGTTGGGACTCTATCAAATGTATTTGATTTCAAATAGAATTTTTGGAAGCTATTCGATCTATCATAAACCCTAATTTATGTCTATATAAAAGGTATTATATTCCCTTAAGAGACATCTCGAATATTTTGCAAATTTATAGAATATTCATAAAGAGATCAAATTCAAATTATCCTAGTTTGAGAAATACGTCATTAACAACCTTCGAATCTTGATCAATTCTCGAGAGAGAAGAATCAAGGGAGGAACAGATTTAAAACCACAATATTTATCAATAAAACTATGTTTCTTCATATTTTATTTGTGATTGCAGTTTATTTTTCTGTCACTTAAAATTTATTATAAACACATGTAATAATAATAAATTAATAAGATAGTCTGAGAGTGATATTAACAATAGTGAATTATGAAGATTAGTATAGTAATACAAATTAAATATGTTTTATTAAGTATATATAAAAAGGAATAGAGAAAGATTCCATAATTAGGTAAGAGGTAAAGAATCTTTCCAACAGATTACTCTAATTGATCCTAATATTATATGATGAATATCCTTAGATAATATTATTATATTTTTATAATATTCTTAACACTTTGTATTCTATCTTTAATAATAAATATTCCTCTTTAATTTATATGTGGCTTGTGCAGGATGCTAGTTAAATTATTATATGAATAGGAATTATACACGTATTCTCATGAGTCATGAATATTTAAGTTTAAGAAAATTAGAAAAAACAAAAAAATTGGCCAATGTCTAAACTATTGACTTTTCATCCCATATGAAAGTATTAAATATATGTCCAAATGGTTCAAAAAAAAAAACAGACTAATTATATAGACTAATATCTTTTAAGTGATTTAGTTTACAAAATGACCTCTAAATTAAATGTATAGTATGTAGGATAAAAGATTCGTACTATTATAGAGGCACTCGTCATATAGGGCAAATAGTAGTATTTAAACAAAGGCATAGTGTTTTATCGGATTTAGAATTTGAAATATATGAATTTTTATAATAATTAAAATTTAATATAAAATAATAATTGAATTTTATAAGTAAATATTTATAGATATTTAATAAATTTATTTATTTATATACAAGGTTTCAGCAAAAATTATTGAATTCATGTGCATACCATAGATTTACCCCTACATTTTATTTGGTTATAATTGCATTTGCAAGCATGGATCAAAATATACTCTTGGGATAGTTTGGTAGCAGTAATATACTAATATATATTGAGTTTAGTTATATATGTGAGAATCTATTATTTTTTATGTATGGATTATTTATGAAGGATTTAGTTATTCATGTATCGGTTATTTCATCTTTTATCCGATATAAAATAATATGTAAATTCTCTCATAACTTATATATACATATATTAGTTATGTGAATGTTTAAATTGCAGACAAACATCAAATTAAATGTGTTGAATTTGTACATAACAAAATAACACCGCAAACTTGATATTACTTGAGTAATATTTAATACATGAATAATTTAACTCCTAATAACCAGATATCAAATGATTCCATAATTCTCAAAAAAAAAAACAAGGGAAAAGAGTATCAAGAGTCAAGAAATCAAATAACCCAACCTTTCTTCTTCAAATGAATATTTTTGGATTAATTGTTGAATCATATAGCAATAAATTGCCTAAAATAAGGGAAGAAAACAAAAGAATAGACAGCCATTAGTGCAATCAAACTCAGCTCCCTCTAAGTGCAAGTCTTAGTCTTTCAAGTTTCCATAATTGGTATCGACATGAATTCTGATAAGATGGTTAAAATAATTTCTCTATTTTAATTAAAAATTTCGGCTTTGAGTTTGCAAATAAGAAAAAAATTGTATTGGGACCATCGCCCCAATTAAATTGAGTTTTGGACGTTTGACTCTTAATTTAATTAGACTCCAATATGAATATCGAACCTGAGTGAGAGAAAAAAAAGGTTTCTATTGGTCAATTACTACACTAATGGGAGAGGCACATAGTGGAAGAAGTTGCATGTGATTGTATTAAATATTTGGTAAAATAAGGTGACTATGACAATTGACAACCAAATGTCTAGCCTACCTTACTTTTAACTTTTTCATTAATTACTAGTATATTATATTAAGAGATGACATTGATTAAATTGTTTGCTTCCTAAATGATATTACTATGTATGGTTCACTTGTCTTTTTCTTTTTTCTTCTTTAGTTTTATTTCGGGATAGAGCATAACTTACGAGTTCGATTGTATTTAGTAGTTTTGATTTGTTAGAGTAAAACTTATGAGTTTGATGTATTCAGTAGTTTTGATTTAAATTCTGTATTTTTAATCTGGGTGGAGCTAATACGAGTTCGATCGTATTCGATAGTTTTGATTTAAATTGTATATTTGTTGCAAAAAATTACGTGAATACGCAAAAACTATTAATTTAGAAGTCTAATCCATAAATAGGACGATTTGGATGTCAAGAATTGTTGTGTTAAGATGGGCAATCAATCGAAATACTTATCCGCACCAGATGTTAACACTTAACAAAACACATATCACTTAACCGTATTTGTATGGAAGACACATGTTTTGTATTTCATTAGTTTGGCATAAATATCAGGTGCGGATAAGTTTTTACTGTAAGAAACCTTGCTATCGAGTACCCGAGCAGGTGCAAGTTTCCCGGAGGGTCAACGACAGTTCATTCGAGAGGGGCTGGAGAATGCAAAGTGAATATTACATCATCAGCCTTGCCTAGAGCTATAATAAAGTGTAGTGATTTTCTCTACTTATAATAATTCATTTTCTTTACATAGTGAGTCTGTGTGTGACATATAACTAAGTCACGGGTTCGAGCTGTTAAATCAGTGTGCATCTGCCTACATCACACCCCTTGACACTTGTGATGTTACCCTTCCCCTGATCCTACATGACCGCGGGATGCTTCCTGCAACGAGCTCATGAGTGACCTCTTCCAACCATGTTAATTTGTTTACCTCAATTTTCCAAGTCCATCAGCAAATTCTAAACATTAGCAGTGTGATGTGGATTTCTGCATCATACAGCGACTAACACGTTTACACCTCTCTTCACAATAAAGAAAGAAAGGTGTGATATCTGAGGTAAACGTTTACCACAACCGTTACAAATTGGGGCTCGAGAGAAACCATTCCCTAGCTAGTCGATCAACTATTTCAGCTTCCATATTTTTTTTTGTTCTACTAGAACAGCAATTACAACTCCAGCTTCAATAGCCCGTATACAGTAGTATACATCAAATGTATACCCAGATTTTTCAGGAGCAAATTGGGCCAAAGCCCCAATTGAAATTACAGCAGGTTGAAGGAAAGTTCAAATGGACCAAAACTCAAATTCTTTTGCATAGCAGGCCCAATCAGATTTTAGGGCAAAAAGTGGGTTGAAATCCATTGATTTAAAATAGGACAGGTTGAAGGAAGTTGGGCCTGTCAGCCCAACAATTTGAATTTGGGCAAAATGGCCCAAGTTTAATATCTCTTCCTTTAATTTTATTTATTTATTGTTTGTATTAACTAACTCTGTTTTGACTTGATTCTATTTAATTAAATTTCCAAAAGAAAGTCATTGTTTTTATATGTTTAAATTGAAATATTTATATTTTATTACTTAGTGTTATTTATTAGTTGTCTTGTCAACATAAGTTACTTTTTTCCTAAGAGTTCCTTAGGTTTATTTCCTTAAAAAAAAATAAAAAATGATTTTT